TGTGTACACATAGCACCACTCTTAGACTTTTAACTACAAAATGGCTAACGAAATTTTCGTTGCTAAAAGTCACAGTTCTTCATCAATGGATATTTCGTGACTATTATTGTTGTTTAATATGCGTAACATTTACCAACAGAATTTTTTTTAAGTTATATAATTTAATTTTTTTCTAAAAAGCATGTTAACATTTCACCCACATATTTTCATTGGGTGAAGAGTAGTTCATGTTACCGATGGAATTGTCGTTGCTAATATTAATCAATTTTAATAATAAAGAATTCAAACATTCTCCTACGGAATATCCGTAGGTGAAGAGTAATTATTTTTTTTCAAAAAAACAAAAAAATCGTTCTCTTCACTAATGGAAATTTCTTAGGTGAAAATTAATTTATATTACCTATGGAAAAATCCATTGATGATATTAATCAATTTTAATAATTAAAAAAACCAATAAGCAGTTGAAGATTAATAAAATATAACTGTTGGCAATGGTTAAGATTTTTACCAATGAAACTTTCGTTAGTAAAATGTTCACACTTTACCAATGAAAAATTCGTTGGTAAAATGCTTACTCTTTACCTATAATTCGTTGGTAACTATTAACGACCCTCAAATTAACAACGAATTTGTGATTGCTAATATTTCGTTAGTAAAAAGGAAAGCAACATATATCATGCTTTTATGAATAAAAAATCTGTGCTTGAAGCCATTTTTTTTTTTCTGTATTGACCACTGACATAGATATACAATTTTTGAGAATTGAACGTTGAATTGTAAAAAATTATAGATTTGACCACTAACATGGCATTGCCACTTCAGCTGTGAGCTTGTTACATCCTATGTATCATGGGTAGGAGATCATTTTTATTATTTCAAAACTCTGTAATTTTCATACCCATTTTTAACCACACATTTATACAATAAAATATTTTGTACGTAAATTAAAAAGAAATTCCTTATTTTTTAATCACACATTCTCTAAAAAAATCATTATTCAAAACTCTACTTTCTCAAAATAATGACCATCAAACATGGACGTAATGGTAGAATCATGGACCAGTTTTTTTATCCACTTGCATAGATTGATGAAAGGCATCACAAGCCTATATGTGTGGCTACAATTTTGTGAATATTATAATCAACATTTTAATGTTGGACACGAGGATGGGTTTCAGCCTTTCATAAGTGGAGACAGAATAAAGCTTCCACAATAAAGACGTTTTTACAAAAAATATTGATTGCATAAATCACCAAATATCGTAAATGGCCCTGTCTACAGTATGAGAAATTAAGCCCATGTTTGCTTCTGATTAAAATCTGATTTTAATCTCAAATCAAAGTCAACAATTAATTTTAACAATACATTTTATGGGGTCCAAAACTTTTCAACTACACATTTCATCAATTTTATTAAAATCTACTAAAAATTTGATTTTAATCAATAACAAACAGTGGCTAAATGTTAACGAGCACTATGGTCATTTTAAAATCTCGCCCAGACATGCGCTGAATTTGTGACCTCTTGATTGCATATTCCACAAGGCAAAAACCAGTAAAATACTTGTACAAATATTCAAAAATTCTCTATACAGACAGATTGGTCAATATATGCCCCTAATTAGTTTAATAAATGAGGCAGACATCAACCATTTGTGTCAGAAGCTTTGTAATTTCACCAAAACATGAAATATACCGTTTTCTTGCCATCTTTAGATCTTTGTATATTCTGTTTTATCCTTTTATCGAGAAAATCTTCAGCTGCTGATTATCGGTACGAAGCATGCCCTCCCAGGGATTGTGGCAATGGCCTAAACATAACCTTTCCATTTTACATTGAAGGTTTGCAAGAATCCTACTGTGGTTACCCTGGATTTCATCTCAACTGCAGCAAACATGGCTATCCAACGATTAGTTTACCAGAAAATGACTATATAGTCGAAAGCATTTCCTATCCTAATCGTTCTTTTCGTGTTTATAATGCTGCTGTTTCGAGTACTTCAAACCTTAGATGCCTTCCACAAATCATAAACACGACATTTCCTACCAGGGAGTTTCGTTATGTTAATGCATCAATGCTTTATTTGTTGTCCAATTGTACAGAACCGTTGTCAAATGATCTTTTGCAATACAAGGTTGTCTGTCATCAGGGTGAGAAAAGAGATAATTTTGTTTTAGCACTATGGGATGAGGATGAAAATTTGCAGAATGGATTTGAAAATTGCGAAAAACATGTGGTGGCGCCGGTGGAATTGCATGGAGATGAAGAGAGGATTGGAATGGGAGAGTATGAGGAGATTTTGAGAAGAGGGTTTGCACTGAATTGGTCAGTCGCCGGTGACTGCGGGAGATGCGAGAGATCTGGCGGCCGATGTGGCTTTAACACCACTACTTTCAGGTTCCGTTGCTTCTGCCGTGACCGACCCAGATGGAGTTGCAGACCACGTACANAGGATGAAAATTTGCAGAATGGATTGGAAAATTGCAAAAAACGTGTGATGGCGCCGGTGGAAGTGCATGGAGATGAAGAGAGGATTGGAATGGAAGAGTATGAGAAGATTTTGAGAAGAGGGTTTGCACTGAATTGGTCAGTCGCCGGTGACTGCGGGAGATGCGAGAGATCTGGCGGCCGATGTGGCTTTAACACCACTGCTTTCAGGTTCCGTTGCTTCTGCCGTGACGGACCCAGATGGAGTTGCAGACCACGTACAGATTCAGGTACATTATTTTCTTTCTTGTCGCTTTCGATTTATGGAATGTGATAATTGAAAAATTAAATTTGATAAAAGTTTCTTGGGACATGTTTACTGTTCACACTGCCGAATAAGATTTTAAGGATGTTTTCTTACCTCAATTGAAAATCTTGCTACATATATATTAAGTTTGATATTGTTACGAGATTATAATTTTTTATATATTGATTTTAATAATATTTTAATAATGTGGATCTTTTAATATGAAACCCCAAATTTTAACATATATTTTGTAAAAAAAAAAATCCATGTACGAGTAGTAAAAATATAAAACATTTTTTAACATATAAATACTTAATATTTATCCATAAATAAATAATTCTTCTAAAATAATAAGGTTTCTAGAGTGTTACTTTATAGAGGTTTTACAGTAGCGTGTTGCTTTACAATCACTACATAGAAATATACACTGCCATTTTAGCAACCCATTTGACATTCAACCAGTCCAAAAGCATTTGACATTAAAATGTAGTTTGAACAAATGAAAGTAAAAGACTAGTCATATAATAAGTAAATGAATATAAATTTAATATTAGACCCTTGTTTGATTCATATAAAAATTAAATTCTTAGCAGATTTTGATAAAAGTTGATGAAATATATGATCGAAAAGTTATAATTCCCGTAAAATATATGATTATAATTAATTATTTATTTTGAGTTAGATTTTTATTCACTTTTTAAGCTGGATACCGTACATAGAGTAGTGAGTAACATCAAGTTAGAATGTCAAAACACGTTATATCTTTATTTTGACTTACATTTTGATTAGGAGTAACATTTATGTAGGAAAAAGAAAGTAACGACCAAATCAAATATTTGTTGCCAAGGGTCCAGACTTAGTCACCAAAGGTGACTCCTTAGAATCAAATTGCAATACCCCTCCTTTGTCGAATCAAATTGCCCAAGACCGCAACCAGTTTTTAATTTATAAAATTTCATATTAGTTCCCTTTCATGAAATTATTTGATTCAGTTTTCAAATATTTATTATCGAATTTTTGAAATTTGTAACTGAATGTCAAATGGGTTGCTTTCATTTGTTGAATCCCGTGGATAAATTCGTTTGGTAGATATTAAAATCAAATTTTTAGTTGATTTTGATGAAATGTGTGATTGAAAAGTTGTGGGTCTCATGAAATGTGTGGTTAAAATTAATTGTTGATTTTGATTTGAAATTATAATTTAATTTTAATTCAAACCAAACAAAGG